TGTGTGCCCCATTGTCTCTGCACGACCCAGCAAACATTTGTTTACCAAACATTTGCTTTTTCATCTCCATATGAATTGCCTTCCTCCCCTTTGCAGTCCTGAACAACTACCCCCAACATCCTCTTTTGTCTTTAGCTGAAGATAATACTTAAGGTGAGGATTTCAGCCATTTTAGTGAGTTACTCAGTTTTCCTGGGCCTCTCCAGTGCATACATGCTATTAAATTTTTGTTTTATTTTCTCCTGTTAATCTGTCTCATGTCAATTTCATTCTTGCACCAGCCAGAGGAACACAGAAGGGTAGAGAAAAATTTCTTCCTTTCTGACAGGGTTAAAGTACCAAAAGCAAGCAAGAATTTGAACATAAAGTGTTTCCTTACTCTTCCCTTTCTGGAGGTTCTGTTCTCCCTGCCTCTCCACCACCCACCCCAACAGTCTCTTACTCAGGCAACCATCCTGTACACCAGTTGTTCTCAAACCTTGGGCAACTGAGCCCACGTGCCACAACTACTGAAGCCCGCATGCCTAGAGCCTGTGCTCCACAACAAGAGAAGCCACTGCAATGAGAAGCCTGCACACCTCAAGGAAGAGTAGCCCTAGCTCGCAGCAACTAGAGAAAGCCCTCACGCAGCAGCGAAGACCCAACACAGCCATAAATAAATAAATAAATAAATGTATTTGTTTATTTTAAAAAATAACTTTGTTCCTTAAAAAAAACAAAACTTTTGGCATCAGAACTACTTGGAGTGTTTTTTATAACACACATCACTGAACTCCAGCCCCAGAGCTTCTGATTCCCTGGGCCTGGGGTGAGACTGAGAATTTTAATTCTCCAATGTTCAGAGGTGACATTGATGCTGCTAATCCAAAAAGCATACTTGGAGAGCCATTGATGTAAATGGATCTCAGGGAGCTTTGCCATAATGTAGAAGCCAAGTAAGGTTTTATCTGACAACTTAATATTCCGCCCCCCCCACCCCCCGCCCGAACACAAGGAATATATTTGCATCCTTAGAAAGGAAGCCTGCTGGTAAAAGTTTCAAGACCCCCCCCAAATAAAAGTCATCTAATAGTTACATTTTAGGCTCCTTGACAAGTCATGAGAAAAATATTTTTGCTCAGGAGTCCTATTCAAAGGCTTAATAAATGTTTGTTGAATTACACATTTTAGATCAAACACATGAAGTGGATTCCAATCTCAGGCCATAATCAGAGATGCCAGAAATAAAATATTCTTTATCTTTCTGTAACTCAACTAAAATTCCATTTCAATACCCCATTCTACCAAACTGGTGGACACTTAATCACAGTCAATTCAGGATCCTACGTCTTCTTCCTCTGGATTCTGCCTGTGTTTACTTTGCTAGGACTGCCATTACAAAACACCACAGACTGGACGGTGTAACCAGCAGAAATTTATCTTCTCACAGTTCTAGAGGCTGGAAGTCCAAAATCAAGGTGTCAGTAGGGCTGGTTTCTTCTGAGTTCTCTCTCCTTGGCTTACAGATGTCTACCTACTCTCTCTGTCCTCACCTGGTCTTTCCTCTGTGCATGTGCATACCTGGTGTCTCTTTGTGTGTCCAAATCTCCTCTTCTTATAAGGACACCACTGATCAGATTGGATTAGGACCCATGCTAACAGTTTTATTTTAACTTAGTCATCTTTTTAAAGAGCCTAACTCCAAGTACAGTCACATTATGACATACTAGGGATTAGGACCCCAACATATGGATTTTGGCAGAGAGGTAAGGGGATGCAAGTCAGCCCATAACACCATCTAGGATCCAGGGAGTTTGTATGTAGGTAAGGCTGGAGAGGTTTAGCTCAAGCCCCAATTCTCAAGGCTGCCCTCTGTGCATGCTGGCCTCTCGTGAGAGGTCCTCATTCCCTTCTGGTCCTCAGTAGTTAGCCCATGCAGGACTCACCTGGGTTGTCCCCCATCAATGGGGACAAGGCTTCTTCTGTGACACACTGGGCCATTGGAAGTGCCATGAGGTGGGCTGAGTCCTTGCATCACTTCTGTGCACCCCTCATGTGCCCTGACCAGCGCTGTGCTGGGCACAGGGGAATGTGGTAAGGTTGTCTCAGGCCTCTCACATATGTAGTCCTGAGATAGCCTTCTATCTGGACTTCACCCTGGACATGAGAGACAGGATCACTCTCCTCCCCACATCATGCAGTTCATCAGAGTAACTGTCACCCCAACCCCACCTCAGGGATTGCAGGGGAGAGGGTACAAACAGTCAGGATGCAGTGTCCCTGTATCAGGCCACCACATCTGAATTCTTGTGACTTCCCTTCTCACAACCCTAAGCCCCAGCCCCGCTGGCAGGAAAAACCTTTTATCTGTTCTTGGGGGCCGGAAGACTTGCTTTAGCTCAACAGATATTCTTCCAAGCAGATTGTCTGCACCTCAGTCCTTTTCATTCTCCTGAGTTGCATGAATCCTTTGAAACTCTAAACCTAGGATTGTCTTCTCCTCCCAACCCCGTATTTTTCTGCCAAGAATTCCTTCTCTTGAGGCAATAAATGCAAAATGGCTAATTGAGTGTGAGGGGGAATAGGGATGGGGTAAAAGGAAGTAAGGCTGGGGAAATAAATCAGTATTTCAGAATGTTCCCTGCCATGTTTAGCTGCTACTTGAACTAGTGAAATTGCAGCAAGTGGAAAATGTGGATGCAAAGGACCCTTCATCAGCAGATTAGATTCTTCCACTGTCTGCCCCGCGGAGAAGTTGGAGCCAAGCAAGACCACATTCACTTCCCCTTTTCCCCATGGGCAGCCCAAGTGCCCTGCACGGGCCAGTGTCGGGTGTCCATTCTGTGGCCTCAGGAAACCAGATACCAACATGCCAGGAACACCAAACTCCTCAAGGTAGTATTCTGAATGCTGCTAATTGGCTTTTTCTCACCTTGGATTTGTTTAAATGTCAGACTCAACGCTCTGGAATTTCCCATCTCTTCATCAGCTAGCTCTGTAGTTGAAAATACAGTATTGTCAAATATTCTGGACTAAATAAGAAGCAGAGTTATTACAGGTTCTTAAATGTCCTATTATGTGGAACTGACAAAGTTTCAGCATAGGGCAGCCACAGTTTTTCTCCTAATTAATCAGAAGTGAAAGTTTGCGTTTCCTGTGTTTTATAACAACATCCTTTTTTTCTTTTGAGGAGCAAAATACATAAAAATCTGGTGTGGATATTAAGATGCCATTTCCCTAAAAGCAGAAGTATAGTCTATTTAGGTAAAATAAGAAATTGTGTCATGAGATACCCATGTATAGAAGCCACAGATAAGTGGATGTGCAAAACCAAACAAAAATGAGAATTTTGGATTAGAGTGACAAGTAAACTGAAATCATTGCTTTCATTTTTTTTTAAAGGCTTGTCTTACTATTAATTTTCTACATTGTACTTAAATTTTTATTATTTCAGTAAAAATAGAAAGTATTCTGAATTTTTAAGTTCCTATACACTAAATTACTTTGCAAATGTACTTTATAAACCTAAATGATTACTTTTATTATTTTCAATAAAAGACCTACAAAGGAAGTATAGGAAACCCATTACACTCTTGTTACATCCTGAATAACCTCAAGGTTAAAAATCTTGGTTATATCACAAGATCATCTTTTCCAGTTCTGGGGAGAAATTTTAAAAACCCTACCAACAGGAACTTCTAATGTCCTTTTACAAAGGCAGGCTCAAATTGTCATGATTACAGTTTTTAAAATGAAGTTAAATGTTTCCATCCCAAATTAATTCTGTCCTTATAAAGTAAAAATTTCCTCTTCGTGTGTAATAAAAGTTTATTAAGGCAAGGTTCAAAAGTGAAGTCTCTGGCTTTTTTATATCTCAGAAGTTCCAGGAGCTAATTTCACTTCACATTAAATCACTTACAGGGTTTCCCTGGTGGCGCAGTGGTTGAGAGTCCGCCTGCCAATGCAGGGGACGCGGGTTCGTGCTCCAGTCCGGGAAGATCCCACATGCTGCGGAGCGGCCGGGCCCGTGAGCCATGGCCGCTGAGCCTGCACGTCCGGAGTCTGTGCTCCGCAACGGGAGAGGCCACAACAGTGAGAGGCCCGCGTACCGCGAAAAAAAAAAAAAAAATCACTTACAGATTTGGCAACAACTGTCCAGGTGTTACTATACTAAGTGAATTTTCATTATAACATCCCATGTCTTTCTCAAATAAAGTTTCAAGTCTCATAAAATTATTGATTTGCCTAAGCCAGTTAGTTCAAGTGGCTTTAGCATGGTTTAGCAATTTTTGATGGAATCTTCTCTTCCAAGAGGAAAATCAAAGGAGAAAATGGTTCTACAATAAAATACTGTATAGCTAATATATAATCCCTTTGAATAAAAACAAAAACAACAATAAAAAACTTTAGCTAGTTGGCTACCTTGACCCCATCATCATGCCATTAAGCAATGAACATGCTCTCTATACACACATCCGCATTCGCTCTCTGTTGTTTTTCGCCCAGGATCTTGATGACCCTGATTCCATCTACAACATCCTCTCCTATTCTACACATCCAACGACTCATCCAATCTTTTTGTACCTCTCTTGGAGTATTTATCCATTTTTACCATTTTTACCATTGCGGTTATTAGCGTTTTCTCCTTCACTAAGTGATAAGTTCCTTATGGGTTAGGGCCAGGTCCTATATATCTGCCAGCACAGTGGTCTCTTAGGAGAGGAGGATAGATATATGTGTTGACAGATAAATGAGTGAGGGAGGGAGTGAATGAATGAATGAGATTCTAGTACATATTCTATCAAATAAAGCACATATAGTATCAGTATACAATTGTGATTAAGATGCAAAGAGAAAAGCGAGTAATAAAAATTATACTACAGTAAATAATACATAAAACATCTTTTAAAATACTTAGGAGACTTCTGTTGCTCAAACTTGGATAATGTACATCCTTCTCATTAATATGCTGCTTCCTCATTGGTTTATGATGAAATATGAGTGCAATTTCCTGTCCCCTCAATAATATTGGTTTCTCTTCTGGGTGCAAGCAGATTTATCTCACTCCTCAGTCAACAAAATCATCATCCCAAGAAACATGGGTAAGTGTAAGATTAAGAAATAAGACTTTAAGTAGATAACATACTTTTGAATGATTGTCAGTAATATTTGCAACATTTTTTCTAGTTTGGGCTGTATAAATGTGGTCATGCAAAGTATTATAAGACGGGGAGAAATGAGGATGACACATGGCTTCTCTACTTTGAGCAGTAGTAAAGGATGTCAAAATTTACATTTAGAAATAGGTAACACTACCAAAATATAAAAGAGGAATGCTTATGCTCCATTTCCTCTACAGGAAACAGTATATTGGCAAAATGAAAATTAAGTGGTTAGGGAAGAAATGTACCAACTCCTGGCTGTAGAGCTATCTAGCACCACTTCCTCAGCAGTATAAAGGTCTAGTGATATGTTTTCATACCATCAGAAACTATGTGAAATTTGAAAATAATATTTCCAGTATTAATTAATATTTCTAGTATGTATTAATTAAAAATTCTTAAGAGATGACTATCACATTGACGTAGAGTGTTAATAAGTAGCTATTCAACTGATAAATGAAGGCAAATGTTTCCTATAACATTTTATCTTCTGATCATTGTCATCAATGGTTGGTACTGTTTTAATTCTGATTTTTACCAACCATCAATGGTTGGTACTGTTTTAGGAGCTGTGGATTATCTTCTTTGGGCATCAGGTAAAAATTAAAATCAGAATTAAAAACTTATCCAAATTTCTCAGCACTGGATCTAAAAACAGTTTTCTCAAAATATGATTAAAGCAATCAAAATAATATCTGAAAAGATGTATGAATAATAAGAATTATGTATTCTGTTAAAATCTCAGATTCACACAAATTAATTTAACAGCTCTCCTCTGCAGCGTTTGGTATCATATGTGAAATGTTATTATATAAATTATATTCTGAGTGACTCTGGTTTCTCTGCTATGCTCTGGATAGGTGGCCAAAGATGATCTGCTTTCAGGAAATGTAGGGGACAACACAGGCTACCAGTGTTGTCATTAGAACGATATCAGTTAACATGTCATGAAGGCTTACCATGTGCTCAGTACTGAGTTTCATGTGTTATCTCATTTAATCCTCACAAGAATTCTGTGAAATGGTTGCTATCTTACGCCTGTGAAAATTGAAACTTAGAGAGGTGAAGGAACACACATGGTCACAAATCCCCCAAGAGCTGCTGAGAACCTTTGAGTCTCCAGAGCCCTCACACATGTAACCACAAGCCACCAGAAACACTGCCTCTGTTGCCCAACCCAGAAGACACCCAGTATCTGTTTCATTAAACCATTCAGTCTTATGGTTGTTTTAGTTAAGGCAGGAAATATTTCTACAGAGAAAGAAATTTATTTCACTGAGAATTTTGTAAGTCCTCTCAAAACTATTTTTCCATTTGACCCTTCCTATCTTTTTTTTTTAAGATGAGTATTTGTTGAGTAACATGGACAAAGCAGGAAGGGGCACCTTCCTGCTCATCACCCAGCTCTCCCAAGTCCTTCTTCTAAGGAAGAATATTTTCATGGTTTAAGTGTTCTTCCCCAGACGCATGAGCCTAGTGATAGACGTGATGTTGCGTAACCATCAGAGTTCCATCCTCTGTAGCTTATTAAATTTTGTGCATCTCAGACATTTTTCAAGTGTCATTTTCCTTCTTCTCTTATGTTCTTTAGAAGTCTCTTTATTGAGGATTTTGGGGGTCAATGTTCTCAGTGGTAGTTTATCTTAAAATATCCTTATTTGTGCTCTCATTCTGAAATTTAGTTCTGTTGGGTATTCAGTTATAGGATGACATACATTTTCATAACAGTTTGGAAATATCAATCCACTGTCTTCTGGTTTATGTTATCATTGTTGTTGAAAATGTCTTTGTCAGTCGAAATTTCATCCTTTGTAGGTAGTGCATTTTTTCTCTCTGGCTCTTTTTTTTCTTAGTCTTTGGTGATCTGCAGCTTGATTGCAAACTCCAGCTCTGTTTGTTTGTTTCTAATCTTATTTGGGGTTTGCTGAGCTTCATAAATCTGAGGATGCCATGTCCTTCATCACTTTCAGACAGCTCTCAGTCAGCATCTTTTCTAACATTGCCTCTCCCCTACTTTCTCTCTTCTGTCCTTGTGAACTTTAATTATACATACACTGACCTTTTCACTTTATCCTCCATGTCTCTGTGGTATTTTCCTGTCTCTTTAGCACTCTGATAATTTTGTGTTATTTCTTTAGCTCTGTCTTACAATATACTAATTTTCTCTTCAGCTGGAGCTAGGCAGTTGGTTAGTCCCTGTGTTAATTTTTAATTTTATATTACTGTATTTTTTATTTCTGAAAGGTCTATTTCAATCTTTTAAAAAGTATGCCCAGTCATCTTTTATAGTCTCTTGAGCCTTACTCATGTGTTCATATTCCTTCTCTTATTTCTTTAAATGTATTAAACATACTTGTTTTGTGTTATATATCTATTAATTTTATCTCTAAAGCTTTCGTGGATCTAGTACTCTTCTTTCTTGCTTTTGCTGACTCTCACATAGAAGCTAATTTCTGTATGTGTGTAAGTGTGTGTGTTTTCTTCTAGTGTGGTAGCAGGATATTTGTTCTTTTTATCCATCTATTTTTAAAATCGAGTGTGTTTGGGGTTGGGGGGTTTTAATCAGCCTATATTTGTTAGAACGAGATCTGTGAGAATTCTTTAAAGCCTGGGTTGAGGGAGCTTTCCTCAAGGCATGGTTTGTATTTACTTCTTCCACGTGCCTAGAATACTTATTCTTTCATATGGTAAACTTTTATTATGGGTGAATTTATTTTCAGATTATTTAAGTTGTTTATTGTTTGTTTTGTTGTGTTTCTATAAATTACTTTTTATATGTGAAGAAAGAAGTGACATCATATCATTTCTTAGGAAGACATATATGCTGTATCTGCAGGTTATTCAGATGTTAGTTGTCGAGATTCTTTACATCTCATCTCACATAGCCTTTTGATTTCACTTTTTAACCTTAATTGCAATATAATCTGCATGCAGCAAAAAGGAACATATCCTAAGTGTACAGCATGATTCATTTTTACAAACTGAACTTGTTCATGGAATCAACACTCATATCAAGAAACCAAACATTACCCAATTCTCAGAAGTCCTGCTGGTGCCCTCTTCCTGTCATTACTCACCCACCCACCCCCCGCCAAAGATAACAACCATCTGACTCCTCTTTCTCTAGTTTTTTTTTTTTTTGGTTTTTTTTTTTTTTTTGCGGTACGTGGGCCTCTCACTGTTGTGGCCTCTCCCGTTGAGGAGCACAGGCTCCAGACGCGCAGGCTCAGCGGCCATGGCTCACGGGCCCAGCCGCTCCACGGCATGTGGGATATTCCCGGACCGGGGCACGAACCCGTGTCCCCTGCATCGGCAGGCGGACTCTCAACCACTGCGCCACCAGGGAAGCCCTCTTTCTCTGTTTTTTATAACTAAATATTTAATATGACATTCTACATAGTTGTTTGCAACAATGTAGGTGGGCTTTGTTGAGAAGAACGGGAATGCATGACGGTTTTCCCACTTCCAGTTGGTCTTATTTACATTTTTTTCATTACCACATTGTGAGTGGTGAAAGATAATTAATTTCGGCTTTAAACCAATTCACAGATGATTCCTGATCTAAACAATAGACCCTTCAAAATTCAGCCTCCTGACTCAAAAAACTGGGAGATCTTCCCCCGCCCCGCTCCCGCGCCCCCGTGGTAGCAGGATATTTGTTCCTTTTTAGCCATCTGTTTCTAAAATCAAGTACAGGAAAAATAAAAGCCTAAATAAAATGTTGCCTTATCCATTATATAAATTACTGAAAAGGAACATGTTTAACCTTCCAAAGAAAATGTGTTGACAGATATACGGAAACATAAGGACACATTGTCAGAGTGTGAGACATGATGTAAGGTGATGATTCTCACAAGTTTATTTGAAGTCCACACAGTTTAATAGAGAACATAAAAGTGACATCTTTTAGAAAATGTAGGGTTGATTATTTTATATCTAGTTTGCAGAAATTTTCATTCACTTCGTTTTCTTTAATTAGAAGAGCCATTATAGTTGAAAGACCTGTACTAATCCATCAGTGCTACTATTTAGGAGGAAAGTAGAAAATATTCTCTTCCTTTTCAACAAAGCTAGTCTATGCCGTAGCAAAAATACCTCAGACATCTAAGGTATTTTTATGTAAAAGGCAGAAGACAAAATAGTTGAGTCAAGAGGCTTTAGAGTTAAACCTAGGATTGCAGCCAAGTTCTACCAAGATTAGACAGGCAATATGGGGCTAATTGCCTAATATGTGGCTCAATTCTTCTTTGTAATATAGGATTGTAATAAACAGCACAGAGTTACAATAAAACATAAATTATAATAAATATGCACGCCATTTTACATGGAGTTCAGCACACAGAAAGCCCTCAGTAAATGGATTGCTACCCTGATTTCTGACAGCATAGATTAACGCTACCTGGTTCTTAATCAGATAATATGTACCCTTTCTGCCTGCCTTTTTCTATCCCTCTGCATTGTTTCTGAGCCTCAACCATGTTATTGCATGTAACAATAATTTGTTCATTTTCATTAATGTATAGATTTTATTGTGTTAATATACCACAATCTATTTACCTCTCTTAATGCTAATAGGCATTCCAGTTGGGGGATATTACAAATACTGCTACTGTGAACATTCTAATTCTACCACACGTCTTTTGGGAACCACATGTATGTATTTCTATTGAGCATATACCTAGAAGTAGAGTTGCTGAACCATATGATTTGCATAAGAGCCAAACAGTTTTCTAGCCAACAGTATATGAGAGTTCCAGGTGTTCTACATCCTCACTAAGACTTGGTATTTGCTATCTTTTTCATTTCGTTTATTCTGGTGGGTGTGTAGTTGTATTTCTCTGTGGTTTTAGTTTGTAGATTTCTGACGACTAGTGAAGTTGAGCACATAGATCCAATATTAATTCACTATAGGCCTGAAGTTTATGGAACCAGATTAATAGTATAGACTCAGACCCCATTCCCAAGTGAGGACCAGCCAGAGGCCATGAGTACTCAGGGATTGTTTTTTTTTATGATAGCTCCTCACAGAAACAAAGGTAAGACAGGGAACTTGCCAAATTTCCCTGCTGTCTGTCTGCAAATATCTGTAAAGTTTGTTATTTTGCTTATTTTGATGGCTGAGGCTCCTGGATCCCAGCATGAGTGGGATGTCGAGGACCCCGTGCTACCTGTGTGGGCCCATGCCCTGCCACTGGCCCATGCCCTGTCACTGGTCCATGCTCTGCCACTGGTCCATGGTCTGTCACTGGCCCATGCTCTGCCACTGGTCCATGCTCTGTCACTGGCCCATGCTCTGTCACTGGTCCATGGTCTGCCACTGGCTCATGCTCTGCCACTGGTCCATCCTCTGTCACTGGCCCATGCTCTGTCACTGGCCCATGCCCTGCCATTTGTCCATGCCCTGCCACTGGCCCATGCCCTGCCACTGGCCCATGCTCTGTCACTGGCCCATGCCCTGCCACTGGTCCATGCTCTGTCACTGGCCCATGCCCTGCCACTGGTCCATGCCCTGCCACTGGCCCATGCCCTGCCACTGACCCATGCCTTGTCACTTGTCCATGCCCTGTCACTGGTCCATGCCCTGTCACTGGTCTATGCTCTGCCACTGGCCCATGCCCTGTCACTGGCCCATGCCCTGCCACTGGTCCATGCCCTGTCACTGGCCCATGCTCTGTCACTGGCCCATGCCCTGCCACTGGTCCATCCTCTGTAACTGGTCCATGCCCTGTCACTGGTCCATGCCCTGTCACTGGTCCATGCTCTGTCACTGGCCCATGCCCTGCCACTGGTCCATGCTCTGTCACTGGCCCATGCCCTTCCACTGGTCCATGCCCTGCCACTGGCCCATGCCCTGTCACTGGCCCATGCCCTGCCACTGGTCCATCCTCTGTCACTGGTCCATGCCCTGTCACTGGTCCATGCTCTGTCACTGGCCCATGCCCTGCCACTGGTCCATGCCCTGCCACTGGCCCATGCCCTGCCACTGGCCCATGCCCTGCCACTGGTCCATGCTCTGTCACTGGCCCATGCCCTGCCACTGGTCCATGCCCTGCCACTGGCCCATGCCCTGTCACTGGCCCATGCCCTGCCACTGGTCCATGCCCTGTCACTGGCCCATGCTCTGTCACTGGCCCATGCCCTGCCACTGGCCCATGCCCTGTCACTGGTCCATGCTCTGTCACTGGTCCATGCCCTGTCACTGGTCTATGCTCTGCCACTGGCCCATGCCCTGTCACTGGCCCATGCCCTG